AAATGATAGACACTAAGCTACATCACTCAAATGTATAGTATTTCTGAAACAATACTTGCAAGAGACATTTCATTATTTCTGTTTCTAAAACCTCAAATCTGTGGGAGTTAATTTAGCCATTTATATATATATTAAAGGCATTCTTGTATCTTTTAATAAAATATTTTAGGTGTGTTATACAATATTTAAATGGTAGTGCCCATCATACTGGCATACTGACACACAGAAGATGGCAGTTACTGTTCTTTGTGCTGGGTATATATACAGCAATGAGTAACACATCAAATATATCTGCCTTAATGACACTTTAAAACTTTTTAATTTGAAAAAAGATACCCAAATATCCATTTATGATCATCATCATCTCAGATTTGGAATTACAATTATTCTGGTTAGGTCATTCGACTTCTCAAAAAATTATGATTGATAAGACATTAAATGATATCTTGATAAGTAACGAGAAAACCAATGTGTAAAGATGATATAAGTACACAGGGGTATTCTGACACATAAAGTCTTGCTCAACAAACCTTTCAGAGGTAAGGACATGCTATAACCCCCACCCCAAATCTGGTAGTATTGTATCTATGCTCAGAAACACAAATACTCTCCAGAGGATGATTCAACTAACTAGCATTTGTTGAGGGCCTATAATACAGCACACACTATGGTGGGCATATTTTTACTAAAGTGAACCAGTATTTATTCAACTCACTTTTACTGAGTGTCTACTTCAGGGTAGGCACTGTGTTAGGCACTGAGAATTCAGAGGGAACCAGTGATTGTCCTGCCATTTCTGCTTCCAATTTATTCAGGGCAGAGAAGACTTGCAGGAGGTGCTGACTTATGACGTAAGGGTGGTAGGTACTGGGATTCTAGATGAAGGCCCCAGCTTGAGCAGAGGCAAAGAGATAAACAGCATGCTGTGAATAAGAAAATACAAGCAGTAAAGGGAAATGTCAAAAGATTAGGCTGATAGATAGGCAGGGTCCAGTTCTATATTCCATGTTATAGAGCTTAGACTCTATCCTATGGATGAAGGGGAAACCACAGAAGTCTTAAACAGGAAAGTGGTGTCTCCATCGAGCAGCAGGCTGAGGGATAGATTTGGAGGTGACAAGGATGAAGACAAGATGACTAGTAGGGTGGTGAAAGGGGCTTGAATCAGGGAAGTGGTGGTAGGGAGGAAAAGAAGAAATTTTTAGGTCATACATTACTAATACCCACTGATTGCTTAGCTGTGAGAAGACTGAGTGGGAAAGAGGAACCACCGATGAATAATGGGATAGGAGGAGGTCCATTTAACTGAGTTGGAGAACTCAGAAATAGGAGGAATTTTTTGAGGGGTTGGGATGGGGGTGTGAGGGGATGTGAGAGGGGGAGGATGAGTTTTGTTTTGAGTACGTTGAATTTAAGATGTCAGTGAGCCACTAGGTGAGGAAGTCCAGATAAGAGTCAGAGCAGAGTCTGGTATAGATATACTGATACATATTTGGGAGACATCAGATAATTGAAACCATGAGAGTCAAGATGAGACCATCTAGATAGAGCAGGGAATGAGAATAGTGGGCTGAGAACAAAACCCTGGAGATCACTAGTATTTAAGGAGCAAGAAAGGAAAAGAAACCCATGAACGAGGCAGTTAAGGAATAACCAGAAAAATATAAGGAGAACCAGGAAGAGTGAAATGGCCAAGGAATTCCTAGATTTGTTTAGCTGGCAAAATTTTTTTTTTAAATCAGAATTTGAATACCTTTAGGCAAAACATATACCTTCCAGTTCAACTAAGGCCCCATCATTACTCATGCTGCACTATTTTCTGTGACCCGTCTCACCTCTGAAGGCCAGTGTGTTTATGACCCCTGGAGTAAAAGCCTCTGAGAAAGAGGGAGTCATTATATGCAGCAGAGAGGACCAGAAAGATAGGAAATTGAAGATGCCCACTAATTTAGCAACAGGAGGGTCATGGTGATCTTAATGATACCAGTTTGTCTGTGGTCATGGTGGCAGAATCCAGATTACAGAAGGGTGAAGAGGAAATAGATATGGTGAATGTAGCTACTCTTAAGAAATTTGGAGAAAGAAGGAAGAGAGATTAGACAATAGCTAATGGGGAATGTAGGTCTAGGAAGGCTTTTAGTTTTAAAGAATTAGAGAGACTGAATATGTTTACAGGCTGAGCCAACAGAGAGGCTGAGTGAGGTAATATAGAGAGAGGTGCTGCCTGGGAGGAGGCTGGAAGAGAAGGGTATGGAAAGCACAAATGGAGGGGTGAGTTTTGAACAAGCAGAGGGACTCCATGATCTCTGAGGGTAGAGGAAGAGAGCACAGGAATTCAAACCTAATTAAGATACAGTGCAGGTGTTTCAGCAGGAAAGTGACATGATTAAACCGTGTTTTACGAAAATTAGTTTGGCACAAGCATGCAGATGGATTGGGGTGGGGAGAGGTGGCAGACTGTGGCCGCAATTCAAGCAGGAGATGATGGCAACCCAAACTAGAGAGGTGCCAGTAGAAATGGAGAAAATGAATGATCTAATAGACCTTTTAAAAGGCATGATGACATAATTCTGGGACAGACTGGCAAAGGGCAATTCAAGGAGAAGGAAGAGTTAAAAATGACTCAAGGACTTGAAATATTACCCTGGAAGATTGGAATGGCAGTATCAGGGTCAGAAATGGGGAAACTGGAATGCACAATCTGGGGAGGGAAAATAAATTGGGTTTAAGATATACTGAATTTGAGGTGATGGTTCTCAAATTTAAACTTTGTAAAGAAACAACAACCTCTAAAGAACAGATGACTGCACGAAGAATGAAAAAAATAAGAATGGGAGAGAATAAGAAATATTTCATTCAGATAGGGCAACTAACACTCCCATGCCAGAAAAAAATTAAAGAGGCTGATATTTTAGATGTCTCAGAATTAGATTAACTATTTCCTAAGGATCTTACTTTACCTGTTGTAAGGAAGGTTTTCCTATCATAGAAAGACCAGTTTCTCATTGAACATCAAACATGCTTTCTAGGTCAGAGAATGTGTACAATACAACTAAGTAATTTTCCAAACTATGTACACTGGTTAGCAATTCAAGTACTGGTTTGCTGCTTTTCAGGTTTTGGCTTCAATTAATACCAGCAGTTACTATGAGCACCATTATTTCACACTCCTTATTCCAGAATTTTTAAGCTGAGAAGGTCATTACACCTATCATAAGGGCCTGGGCATGGCAAGTGTCAGTGCTTTGCTTTTAATTGAAAATAGGTTGTTAAGTACTTCACCATGGTTGTGTGAGGAGTAGAATGGAACCACAAATAAGTTTCAGGGAACTTAAACTCTGTTTTCTTGCCTGTTCCTTGTTTTCTGAATTTTAGGAAAAAAATGAAGGGGAGGAATGCTGGAATATAAAATTGTAGACTGGAATAAAAAGCCTTTTTCTGTTTGATCATATGAAATAATCTGCATGAAAGTAACCTTTGGTACCAGAATCATAATTAATTTGAGTAATAAATTGTTTCCCTAGTGATGAAAGGAATGGAAATAAAACAGCGCAGTAAGCTGGCATCTGAACATTGTAGGCTATCTGCAAAATTCTTGGACCAAGAAAAATTGTGTTAAAATTGCCTAACCAAAAGGCAGGTCTAAAAATCTCCCCACACTCTTCCACAATTTTGAAATCTTCCTTAATACTTTTCATGCAAAGATCACAAAAGTATATTACAATTAAAATACTCAGCATGTTAAAATTAAAAGCTAACATGACGGGGGGAGGTGGTGCATAATATATGATTTCAGATAATATGAACTCAACTGAAAGTCAGAGGGGTAGGTGAGCCATTATCAAAATTACAGGCAGCATGACTTGATAGGAAAAAATAGTCCTATTTTGAAAACTCAGTAAATGATAGCATAATTAAGAGGATGAACATGACACAATATTCAAACTTCCAAGTATTTACTGTCCAAGCACATAAAAACGAGAAAGCACTCTTCAAAGACCAGAGAACCATTAAATTTTTCTTGTGCTTTGACAACTACTACTCTATGAGGTCCCTCCCCCTTTTTATTTTCTCAAATATGATCCAAGATGTCAATTTTAAAAAAAACTCTGTATGAGTTTTCAAAAAATCATTCTCAGCTCCTAGGGGACTAATTTCCATATATATTTAATGTTTGCATATTTAATATTTGGGAATACAAAATCTCCTGCAGGTATGTTAAATTATTTCAGAGCTGAAAGGCTTTAAAAGCCATCTACTCCAAACCCCTCATTTTACCAATGGAGAAATCAAGGCCCAGAAATGGGAAGTAACCTGACCAAGGTCACAGGGCCAGTAAGAAGCAGGGCTGGGACTAACATACAAGAGCCCTCACTCTCAATCCATTGCTCTTTCTACGTTTCATAGCTACTTCTCAACCTGAACCTCTAATTGTGTGATATTTAAGAAACGTCAGAATGAAGAGTGATCAAGACACGGAAAGGATTATTGAATTCATTTACAAAGGGATTAGATAGGAAGAATGGATGGATGAATACATGGATGGGTGATTATTCTATAATGTTATTCACAAAATATATTATGTTTCTGTTTTGAAGAGTCCAAGCCTAGGTCTCGTCACTTGTTACAGCTGTCACCGTGTTCCACCAGACATCAATCTTGGCGGCAAAGAGTCCGCTGGTACATCCTGCAGTTTAAAGACTGTTCATCGCCAGCATACACAGAAGCAAGGAGACTCACCCCTACTCCAATCCCTCTGGCTCCCAACCCCCTAACTTCCCTGTCCTATACTCACTTTTTACCCGGTGTTGGTGCATCACATTTGCTTTCTCCTCACTTCCTTTACACTTGTCTCCCTCAGTTTCCCCATTTAGACCAGGTGTCCTTTCCTAACTATATGCCTCAGTCAGCCCTCCCCCACTCCACAGGCCCCTCGATTGCCTTATTCCTCTGTCGCCAAATCTCAGCCTTTTCAAACCCCATGGCTCCCTCTCGCTTACACAGTGATGTGGCCGGCGCCCCGCACCAATACTGGGTCGGGGGCATATCTCCGCAGATGCTCTTCGCTCACTACCCGAGGCGGGGGCGGCGTATCCTCCACCTGCTCCTCTTCTTCTTCCTCCTCCTCCTCTTCTTCCTCCTCCTCCTCATCTTCCTCGTCATCGTCGGGCCCCGATACCGACGACGACGACGACGGCGACGACGACGACGTTGCCGCTTCTTCTTCCTCCTCCTCCAGTTCCGAGATCGTGTCGAACTCCGCCATGTTGGGCAGCAGGATGCTCATCACGTGACCTCTCGATCACCGCCACCCTCACGCAGAAGAGTTTGAACCTGCTGAGGTGCTGGAAGAGGAGGGGGAACGAAATGCAGAGAAAGATGAGGGGTGTAGGGACAGGATTTAAGGAGATGCGCCTGCGTGGTGGGGTAGACCGGGGGGTGGGGGGGGCGGAGGTTGTTGGAGGCGGGGGCATGAGGGAGAGAGGAGCAAAATCAGTGTACGCTTGCGCGGCTCCAAGGGAAGGGGGGCGTTAGAGGTGAACTACTGGGAATTGTCGAGGTACGGTATGCGGGTGCTGCTCTTAATACTGCTGTTTGGGCTTCTGCTGCTTGTTTCCCGCGGACGTATCTTCTGGTTTTATTTCCTATTAATTAATAATGGGTATTATTACCCCCTTCCCTCCAGTGCAGGGAAGGGATAGTCTATAAAAGTGAGGTTAGAACTTTGCCCCATATATCTTAAGGTATACACCAATCCCTTACGTTTGTTCTGCATTACAGTTTAAAAGACTTTTACAGCAGAACTTTGCCACACCCTGGGAGGCATTTTTATTAACATTTTACTGAAGAGGAAACTTTCTACTACTTCTACTATGCAATACTTACGGAGGACTTACTAAGTGTCAGGGACTGTGCTAAGTGCTCTATGTGCATATCTCATTTAATACTTCACAACCCTATGAGATATGCACCATGATGATCTCATTTTACCGGTGGGAAACCTAGATGCAGAAAGGGTAAATAACTTGCCCAAGGTCATGAAGTTACTAAATGGCAGACCTGGTTTTAAACTTGGGGGGTCTTTTCTAATTCCAGCAGCCCAGCACTCTTAACCAAAGGGCTATACTGCCTGAAGTTGTTTGGAAGGGCTTCGTAGAGCGGTGCCTTTTGGGCATCTTGAAAGATGTTTGAATTTTGGAGTTCTCGGGGGCGGGGGAGGAGGGAAATGGAGGGTGTGGAGGGAGGACTCCAACCCTAGGAAACATTAATTAACATCATCCATTTTCCAGACACTGGGCTAGACTCTTTCACATACAATATCTCAGTTAACCCTTAAACAATCCTGTGAGGTAAGCATCATCATTATCTATTTTATAGATAGCAAAGCAGTCTCGGGAGGTTTAAGTAATTTATTAAGGTCTCTGGTGACCTTTTGTCCAAGATTTTCCATTTCAAATATTCTATCTTCCCCACACCCACTAAAATGTTACAGAGATCACATATTTTGAGTTTCCAATCCATGTCTCAAACTATTTCGTACTTAGCAGCAGCACAAAAATCCATACCATAATTCAGGGATCATTAAGACAATAAATTCACACAGCTGCTAAGTAATAAAACAAATACTGTAATCCAGGTATTCTAATGTTAGCTTCACTGCTCTTTCTGCTACACTAGCTGCATCCCAGTTAGTTGATGAGACAGGAAACAGATATAGCCACACTTGAATTTAGGGTGAGCATTTTATTAACAGTATAGCAGTAAAAACAAAGCATTTAGGATGTATGAGGGAGGAAGAAATTAGTTCTGTGAAAGGCACTGATCAAACCATCATCATTATCAAGGAGGTTGCATTATTAAAATGGAAAAAAATTTGTTGTACTCAAAAGCTTGATTATTTAGGAACTTTAAAAGTAAGTTGCAGCACTATCAGTGAGCAACAAAATCTAGTATTTTATAGCAGAGAGAACTTTATCTACTAGCCAGAAATTATAATTAAAGATAGAACCTTAAAGTATTTTATAATAGCCTTCTGGTATGTCTTTTCTTGGGCATTAATAAATAATGTCATGTCATTTATCAGAGCAAAATACCTTAGACTTAAGATCAAATCAATATTCTGCATCAGTTCTTCTCTTTCAAAAAGCAAAAAAGCCATAGGCAATACTAAAAATGTTTCAAATATCTTATATTATCTGTAAAGTTCCACTAAGTCAATCTCTAGAGGGAAGTATTGTGCTATTACTGCTTAAGTGGTAGTTCACCACTCAGGATTAGCCTAGGTAGGGATATTTGAAGGGAGAGTATAAGGAGTGGACTTGTGATAAGTGTAAATGAGATATTGGAACTATGGTAAAAGTGAAGAAATGATGGTTGTAGGAGATGGGAGGGAAGGAGAGGGAGGGTGAAATTCCATAATCAAAATGGAAAGAGGCCCCTGACACTTAGATGTCAAAAGGATGAAAGAGTTAAGAGAAGTGCTATGCTTGGAGAAACTCACGAGTATAGTCAAATCTGCTTATCTGTTCTCCTGCATATACAGTGGGCTAAAAAGGTATATATGATTCCAAAGGTAATTTGTTTTGCTAAACTATTGGAGAATTTGGAATTGGAAAAGCTGAGAAAAACATAATTTGTCAGCAACGCAAGAGACAACATGATTTTTAAATGATACTTTAGCAACCATCAAGGATAGTAAAGCTAGGAGTGAATGAAACAGAAAGCATACCGTGTAACTTTCTGTCTGATGTGCTAAGCAGGGAATGGAGGTAATTCTCCCATATGAGGCAAAAGGTCACAGGTTTAACCATTTGAGGCGGGAAATTTCAACTTAAAACAGCCGAAAAGAATTGCAACTTTTTTATTGGAGTATAATAGCTTTACAGTGGTGTGTTAGTTTCTGCTTCATAACAAAGTGACTCAGTTATACATATACATATGTTCCCATATCTCTTCCTTCTTGCGTCTCCCTCCGTCCAACCCTCCCTATGCCACCCCTCTAGGTGGTCACAAAGCACCGAGTGGATCTCCCTGTGCTATGCGGCTGCTTCCCACTAGCTATCTATTTTAAGTTTGGTAGTGTATATATGTCCATGCCACTCTCTCACTTTGTCACAGCTTACCCTTCCCCCTCCCCATATCCTCAAGTCCATTCTCTAGTAGATCTGTGTCTTTATTCCTGTCTTACCCCTAGGTTTTTCATGATATTTTTTTTCTTAAATTCCATATACATGTGTTAGCATATGTTATTTGTCTTTCTCTTCCTGACTTACTTCACTCTGTATGACAGACTCTAGGTCCATCCACCTCACTACATATAACTCAATTTCGTTTCTTTTTTGGCTGAGTAATATTCCATTGTATATATGTGCCATATCTTCTTTATCCATTCATCTGATGATGGACACTTAGGTTGCTTCCATCTCCTGGCTATTGTAAATAGAGCTGCAATGAACATTTTGGTAAATGACTCTTTTTGAATTATGGTTTTCTCAGGGTATATGCCCAGTAGTGGGATTGCTGGGTCATATGGTAGTTCTATTGTAGTCTTTTAAGGAACCTCCATACTGTCCTCCATAGTGGCTGTACCAATTAACATTCCCACCAGCAGTGCAAGAGGGTTCCCTTTTCTCCACACCCTTTCCAGCATTTACTGTTTCTAGATTTTTTGATGATGGCCATTCTGACTGGTGTGAGATGATATCTCATTGTAGCTTTTATTTGCATTTCTCTAATGATTAATGATGTTGAGCATGCTTTCATGTGTTTGTTGGCAATCTGTATATCTTCTTTGGAGAAATGTCTATCTAGGTCTTCTGCCCGTTTTTGGATTGGGTTGTTCGTTTATTTGTTATTGAGCTGCATGAGCTGCTTGTAAATTTTGGAAATTAATCCTTTGTCAGTTGCTTCATTTGCAAATATTTTCTCGCATTCTGAGGGTTGTCTTTTGGTCTTGTTTATG